TTGTGGACAGCACAGACAACAAATACAACATATATAGGTCTTGTATAATTTTGTCCATTAGTAATCTATCTTTATTGTCTGTACTGTTATTTGTTGTGTCCGATATTAGATAGTGAAATACCAATACCTCTTCTTATTTGTCTGGGAAGATGACAAATGGGGTTCACTTTGTAGTTTCCACAAAGAATAGGCTACAATTAATTTATTAAAATTATAATATTACACTATATAAATGTGGAAATACTATTTATTATACGGCCTATTCCATGAGGATTATATTGGCTCCTTTAATCTTTAAAAAATAATACTAGTTATAGAATACATAACTCTTTTTGATTAGAAGGATATTTTAATACTGGATAACATATTTACATGTACAACTCTACATATTAAAGTCATTGTGGTTAGATATAGTAACGACTATCTATAGCTGCTCCCTCATTCTTCCGGGGTCCGAGGGCAGGCCCTCTCCCGAGGTCCGGAAGACCTCTAGGTCCCTCCGGGTCTCTCTGAATTCCTAATTCTCAACTAGGCTTTTTATAATGTGGAGCAATATCTGTCGCGTCAGCTAGGCACACCATAGTTATTAGTATTAGTAATCAGAACAATGAAAACTAATTATTAAGAGTCACACATCCTAACTCTAGACAATAGGTGTTAATACGTGTTATGCTTAAATCTTATATCATATAGACACTCCGAGTATACAAGTTTGTACAACCCATTACATCTTACATAATACTATGTCATAAACCCAACACCTGATAGAGATTAAATCTTACAATTAATCTGTCCAAAATGAGTTACAAATAAAATATAAATTCAGAATACAATATTAAAATTTAGATCGCAAATGATATTATATTACATAATTTATAATAATTTATTCATTTATAAGGCGCATAAAATCCAGCTAAAAGCTGCTGGAAAGCCTCAATACAATAACAAAAAGTACACATAAGATATAAAATCAAAATTATTCATGATAATGAAAGTTAGATTATTTTAAAAGAAACAAGAAGATCTTATAAAAAGTTCAGTATTAAGATTTCAATAAATACACATTAAACAATAATCAAAAGTTATTAACCTTAATACAATTATAATTACGTTAAAAAATTCTTATAAAAAGTTTTAAGTTTACGCTTAAATATTTCCAAGGTAGAACTAGTTTTTGGTGTCGCCTGTTAGAGAGTTCCACAGAATTGGGGCTGCCGAAATGAAAGTCCTATGAGCAATTGCAGATGAAGTTCTTGGTGTAACAAGTATATTATTAGAAGCAGATCCTAAAGAACGAGAGGGTATATATGGGTGGATAAACTCAGTACTTTGGGCTAGTGGGATCATTTTCTAAGTTTCAAATTAAGCTACACTGTCAATTTATTTTCAGGTTAATATTAATCCTCAATATAAAAAGAATGAATTGGAATATGCATTGAGAAAGGTACGTATCTATTGCTGTCATCAGTTTAATCATACATAGAAATAGAGACTGTCATTTAACGTATTCTGGATAACCTTGTGGTATTTTCTGTCAAGAAGTGACAAGTAAAAAGATGTACAAAAATGCCCAGTTTTGTCCGAACTTATTATTCATGCCAAATACTGGATATAAGCTTACTTTATTAGTACCGGGTACTCCTTATTGTAAAATGAAATATTGAAAAAAATAGTCGTTAAATTTATATCTATACAATTTGACTATGCATATAAATTGATTTCAGTATAATCGATCTTTGTCTTTCTTCTAGGTTGGATGTAGAGCTTTAGTATCAGCCATTAGTCATCAGAATCAGGATTATTATGAAATGTTGTTCACCATTATCCCAGAACTAGCAGCCGACCACCCAAATGATATCAAAAGTCATTCGTATGTATAAGTATTATTTACATGTATGTAATAGATATTATGAAAACTCTGTCCATTTAACTATATCAAGTTCCCTTTTCTACGGCAACACAGAAGTGTGACATATTGTTGTTACCCCCGTTTGTCCTTTGGTTCGTCCGTCGATTCGGCATCCACATTGATTGTTGACGCTCTAGATCCAATTGACTTAAAATTTATACACATTGTTTATAGTCATGAGACGATAAAGCCTATTGATTTCCCATAATTACTGCCATAGTTATAGCCCTTGATCAATTTGAATAATCTTGTGAACGCTCTAGAGGCTAAAGTTATCAGCAGATTGACTTTAAACTTATAGGCATTAAATCTAGAGGCCTGTTGATTTTCAGTGATTTCTGATAATTACTGTCAGAGTTATGGCCCTTGATCACTTTGAATAATCTTGTGGACGCTCTGGAGGTTATCATTAGATTAACTCTAAATGTATACATATTGTTTATGGGTATGAGACGAAGAATCCGATTGATTTTCAACGATTTCTGATAACTACTGCCAGAGCTATGGCTGTTGAACACTTTAAAAAATATTTTTGCAACTACGCTTGTGGACTGCTTGGGTGACTAAGCTGTTGTTGGCGTATGTTTCGTTGCCTGGCAAACTATGTTTATTAACAATATATGTTCAAGATTACGTTTTTTAACATAGATGTTAATTTTATTCTTAATTTGGCCATGTACCAGTAAAGATATATACAATTTCAGATTACCAGAACTTAAAACACTTATAATGATGGGTGAATCCAAATATAGGTAGGTGAATTTTGGATGAAATATGTGGACAGTAAACCAATTAATGTGTTAAATACAACCAGTTGCATTAATTTCAATGCATGTTTCTGTGATGTAGAATACAAAATATTAAAGAAGATCACTAGGGTAAATTAAATAAAAAAAAGTTTATTATCATTATCTACTATGAGGTAGCTATCTCTTAATTATGACATAAGTATCTCACAGCTTAAAGTAAATCATGATTTTAATTTTACGAAAATTATAAAATATCTCACGGCTTAATCCACGCTAATATGTACCGGGTACTCAGATTTATTTTAAATTAAGTAAACGAAATTAAATTACCAACACTAGATAATCTCCCAGCTTTGATTCAGTTAGATCCAAAATAGACCCATCAATTTGGTTCACAGCAAATAAAGATGGCGGACGTATGGTTACATAGGGATCAACATAGGTCGTTGGAATATTTATTTTGTCATAAATTTCTAAATACTGAATGGAATTGAACCATCGTTTGACTGATATTCGAAATATTATAGTTTGCAAGGGATTCTATAGCGCTAAAATCATGTATTACAAGATAATAGTAAGGTCGCCACAATGAAAGCATGGTATTAACGAGAGCATGAAATTAATGAAAAATATTTTTGACAGCATAAAATAATGAGAGTTCAATGAGAACATGGTGTTATATAATGATAAGTGAGGACATGATATTGATGAGAATGATACTAATAATATCATGATATTAAAGAGAACACGATATTGGTGAGAACGATATTAATGAGAGGATAATATTAATAAGAACATGATATTGGGGAGAATGATATTAATGAGAGCATTTTATTAATGGTAGCATGATATTGCAGAAAGTATTAATAAGCGTATTAGCATTATATAGAATGGTGTTCATGAGAGCATAAGCGCATAATATTAATGAATATTAATGACGGAATAGAATCAGCGAGAGCATGGTATTAATGAGTGATTTATTGTTACAGTTTATACATCATGAAAATAATGAATGCGCTGATTGACTAGTGGGCCGTATGACTAATGGGAGGACACCTCCAAATGGGTTACACAGAATGCAAATTCCTTGTTATCTATTTTAATTATATATATTTAAGAGGGGCGTTACGGTTTAGTGAAATCAGTGAAGCTGGTGGAAATAAAGAAAGAGATTATATTCTTGATCTACAGAATAAACTTCAATTTGATGATCCAATCAACATTCAGTTTACATCAGTAAGCATTCTTATCCATTCAAAAGCTGAAAATGAATAATAAAAATGAAATTTATAATTTATGACGACTTTGTTTTGTTTTCATATCCCACTTAACCATATGATTGTACGACTGTAAGTGGTGGGTTTTACCACCCAGACTGATCTAAATTGTAAAAAAATTATAATAGTGTCTCTTAAAGGGCGTATAGCTCTATATTTTGGAACCTTGAAATAGACATATGGTTCAAAAAGGACATATTAATGTAATATGAATGTATGTAAAGTGTTTTATATTCAATTTTCAGAAAAAAATGTAATTTCTAATCAATTATGTTCGGTGAAATGCGTGAACAGTTCAAATTGAACGACAGTCGTTTACACCTGCTTAGTGCATTCTACACGTTTTTTATGATTATTATTTTGTCGTTTGTGAATCAGGCTCTACTAATTACTTCCACATTTGTGTCTTAAATATTGGATATTAGGATCCTATATTTTCACGGCAAGATCAATATTAATTGAAATTGAATTCTAATTCGTTTTTTTGTAATTTCAAATATTATGGAAAATATTGAGTTAGAGACTTAGCTCCGTTAATGTTACAAATCTTATTAATTGCATGAAATGTTAGATCACATCGTTAGGTAGTGGATGGAGGATGTTAACAATGGTGGGAAAATCTCGCAATCATCTTATTTCTACTCCAGTCTTTGGCACAAAATACAAAAAACAATTATCCATTGACTAGAAGAATTACTATATATAGGCACAGATTGTGCAGTAATTAATCTGTATTTAAAAAGGTCCTGCAAATTTATTTTTGCAAAAAAAAAACCCCATTAATATTATGAAAATAAAGTTTTGAATGGTTTATTTCAGGGAACTACTGGTTCACCAAAAGGAGTAACACTTTCTCATCATAATATTACCAATAATTCTCATACTGTAGGTGTAAGATTAGATTATCATCAAAGGGTAAGTATTGTTACATAACGGTGTATTTACTCTATATTTTAAAGAAGTTAGATCTAAAAGTGTTTATTTGACTTGATGTGTTATCATTGTTTGAGTGAGATTTATTTAATTTTCATATTTATTATATGCAGGTTGTAGACTTTACAAAGTTTTCTTGTATTCTGATATATTTTCCTATTGCTGTGTTTTGCTGAAAATTGAATCATTCCCAGCTTTTTATTCATTGTCTCTGTTATTTTCATTGATTTTGTTTTACCAATTTAGTCAATATTCCACCAGGAATATTATTATATGCAACTGGGTACGCAGAAATCAATGTTCTATTTTTAAGGAATCCCGAATATGTTGTCCTGTTCCACTATATCATTGTTTTGGCATGGTATTAGGCAGTTTATCACTATGTATGCATGGCGCTTGTGTTGTTTTTCCTGCAGCCAGTTTTAAACCAGATTTAACTCTACAAGCTGTACAAGATGAAAAGTATGATAAACACGTTGACATGAGTTACTATAAAATGGGAACCATAAATCATTTCGTTGGTTTAGTGTAAGAATTACTCGACGCCTTCAATACAGTAGATGTAACATTTTTTATACACAAAGTATAATATTGACGTATATTGTCGTTACCTGCCGCCACACAATTTACAGTCAAAGCTCTTGTATAATAAATGTTAACATTCAGAAGTACTACAGGCTATCAAATGTTAACTATTTCCAATACTGTTGGTCAGTGTTTAACAATTTTGATTTGCTCCCATTACCCACAAAGGAATATGCGAAAACTTTTGTGGACTACTCGGGCCTGTGGCGGTATGTTTTGTTTCCTGGCAACCTATTTTTATAGATATTTAGTTGCCGTCAAAAATATCTGGTTGAAAAGAAAAGAATTTTAATAAGAGTTTGTGGTTGGGGTATTAACAGCAACTGAATTAATTGCATCACCCATGTTTTTCACTGAATTTTAGCTGGTCCGATTACAGTTTGGGAATTAGTTTAAATGTCCTCAGCAATGTACATACGATTATTCTGATTCAAAGGAGTTGATTAATAAATATGCTGAAGTGTGAATGTGCAGCTTCACAACTGGGTGATGCAATCAATTTCTATTGATTATTGCTGTATATTTGCGCCACCAAACCTATGGTCTCTTGTTCATATGGTCGCCATGCGTCATGATCGTCACAACGAGAAAGCACCATGTTATAATTACTTTGAAACATCATTTGAACAAGTTACAGGATGAAATTTCACAAATTGTAAGCGTCAACCAATCAACTGTACCACCAAGTCAGTTCTGTTAGAGGCTTGACTTACACCTTGCCTTGTCTCGCTTGATAATCCATCATACGGTTGATCGGTGTTCACGCACAATCAGTGTGATTTCACGCTGAGACTTTACCGAATGATATTTCAATGATATGCAATTAATTTGAACAAGAGTGTTTTTTGTTTTTTTAGATGTACATAATTATATGGAGGACCCACTATGTTTATAGATATGTAATGGTCGTGTTATATATTATATATCTTATCTTGTTATTTATTGTAGATGTACATCATTATATGGAGTGCCTACTATGTTTATAGATATGCTGAATCATCCTGACTTGAACAACTATAACTTATCTACCTTATATACTGGTTTAATGGGTGGTTCTCCTTGCCCTATAGAGGTCATGAAAGATGTCATCACAAAGATGAATATGACAGAAGTCATTGTGAGTACTGTACGGCCGGCCAATGATGGATTTAGACTCTTAAGAACCTGTGATATCAACCTAGGTCGAGGCAGACGTTAAACCCCAATTATCAACATCATCTTTTCATCCCTAAAATATAAAAATTTAGTTATAAATAATGCTTACATTAATTACATATATATAAAGTCATTTTATTCTTAACTAAATGTAATATTAAATATATTAAGAGATAGTAAAAATTAAAAGTTAGACTAGCTCCCCTCTTATCCCCAAATTCATATGTATGTACCATGTTATTGTTATGTGGCATTTCTAGCATCATGATTGGTTTTCCGAAGAACCTCATTTTCCAAAAGTAATATTGGGTCTTAGATATTTTTAAAACAGTGCCATTTATAAAATCTGAAAGCTCTGTTTCCATTTACGCTATCCAATGTTAAATCGAATCCTACCCCATGAAATTTATGGACATATTTAATTTTAGGTTGGCTATGGTTTAACTGAAACAAGTCCTGTTACTTTTAGTTCTTATCGAGATAGCCCAATAGAGAAGAGAGTATCAACTGTTGGATTACTTGGCAGCCATGTTGAGGTAATTAGACAAAACAATGATATTATTCGAACATCGTAGCATCATATATTTTTTAAGTCAGCTTTCAGATCACACGAACATTTTGGTATTGTGGTGAACTATGATAAAGATAAGAATGACCCTTAGGTATTATAAACATTTGGAAAATGGCACAATTGTCTATATATATGTTACTTTTTCTGGCAGAAAGTTGGTTAGGTTACAATGTGGTGTAAAAATATGAAAACATAAATAAATCGAATTGTAATCTAATTTTAATCAGATTGTGTCTAATTATTAATTTGAATAGCTAAATTAGGTCACTCAATATTCACTAACGAGCAACCTTGACACGGGCCCTTAACAGACAAAATGTGAAAATATTCTTCTGAAGTCTTACAGGCAAAAACATAGAATTAAATGTGGCCTAAAATCCAGGCTATAAGAATTCAAACGATTGCTCAGTTTTGAAGTGTCCTATTTTGTTTTATTTTAGGCTAAAGTTATCAATGAAAATGGTGATATTGTTAGAACAGGTGTATCTGGTGAACTATGTACTAGAGGTTATACAACAATGTTATGTTATTGGGGAGATCCTGATAAAACAGCTGAAGTTATTTCTCAATCTCGCTGGTTTCGTACAGGGTAAAAAAAACATGCATATATCGACCTTGCGATGTGATGCAATTGTCTAAAACTGGAAATGGCGCTTATGTGGCCTGCGACGTTTCGTTGCTAGTACATGCAACTATTTGCAACTGGCATCTTCGAGGGCTGTCTAAAGTTATGAAGAAAGACTGGTATTACCCTTTCTTTAATAAAAATACACTTGTGTTGTCCAAACGCTCTTCGATAATGTCGTCGGACATTTTTATGTACACAAACGGCATAATGGAGAGGCTAGGAAACATACGAAATAAAAGAATGCCTAACATTTCCTTAAAATTAGTTGCAGTCAGTTGCAAAACTGCTTATGTCTTTGCAACCAATCGCAGGGAAGTAGAACATATGCTACTAACAGCAACTGGCTTTTGTCCACTGTCGAATCAGATTGCAAGACCGCTTATATATCACCTATTTCATTCAGTTGCACCCAGTTGCACTAAACACATTGTGAGGGCAGAGGGAGAGTTTAACGACTTTAGCAGTGGGAGGAAACCGGAGGACCCGGAGAGAACCTACGAGGTTGGACAGGCGACCCTACTCCTTGTCACGTACAACCGGTGAATCGGCACCACGTCCGTTGACTCAATGACAGACCTTATGATACAACGCGCACGCGCTTAACCATTCGGCCACCCTAATAAGGGCTATTTCATGTAAGATTGCCTCAGTGGAGAGTAAGAAACCACTTTTTAAAATTACCAAGTGTTATAGGGTCTAGAAAAATTTGATATTAGTAAAGGGGATCTTGAACAGCATGTTAGCGACCAAGTTTGAAAAAACAATTATTTTGGTTTAGTGGTTTACATATATTTAAATTTCGTTGGTAGGAATTCTGTAAAAAAAAACATGGACATGTTAAAATTATGGTACATTAAATTTATAGAACATAATTCAGTAAAGCACAACCAAAATAACATTGTATTCCTTAGCGGTATTGATATTATTAAAAGTGTCATGAGAATTATTTCCCCTTAATACAATGCAGTGGTTCCCAACCTTTTTTGCCAATGGCACCCCTTGGGACACATAAAAAAAATAGCGGCATGTGGACGTATATTGTCGTCGCCCCTGTCCGTCCGGACGTCCGTCCGTCCGTCCGACGACAATTTGTTTGTGGACACTCTACAGGTCACAATTTTTATCCGATTTTGACGAAACTTGAAGTATAGGTTCTATCTCCCACAGCTCTCGATTCCTTTCGATATTGGCATGTATCAGACCACATCTTCATGGATTATGGCCCCTGATTGTACGAAAACTCACGTTTTAGCTTGAGGACACTCTAAAGGTCACAAGTTTGATCCGATTTTGATGAAACTTGAAATGCATGCTTATAACCCAAGGATCTTCGTTCCTTTCGATATTCGCGCATATCGGATCGTAACTTCCTGAATTATGGCCCCTGATTGTACGAAAAAGAGGTCACAATTTTTATCCGATTTACAAAATCGTTTTATTATATCACTGTTACACCCAAATGATGGTTGAGTTCGAATCTCGTGAAAATCGCACCAAAACTGACGGACGAAATGGCCGCCCCTTGTACGCAAATAGTGTAAACATCTGGTATATCAAGGTTGCGGACCTCCTAGAGGTCACAGTTTTGATCCGATTTTGATTAAACTTGAAATGCATGTTTATAACCCAACCATATTGGTTCCTTTCGATATTCGCGCATATCGAATTTCGAGAAAATCGGACTAAAACTGACGGACATAATGGCCGCCCCTTGTACGCAAATAGTGTAAAAATATGGTATATCAAGGTTTTTGGCCCTCTAGAGGCCACAGTTTTTATCCGATTTGGATGAAACTTTAAATAAATGTTTTTATCACAAAGATTTTGGTTCCTTTCGATATTCGCGCATATCGAATGTACTTCCTGAATTATGGCCCTTGATTGTACGAAAAATCGCGTTTGGGCCTGTGGTCCCTATAGAGGTCACAATTTTTATCCGATTTTAAAAACCGTTTAAACATATCACCATTCCACCATAACGTGGATAGAATTCGAATTTCGGGAACATCGAAATGAAACTGCCCGACAAAATGGCTGCTCTTTGTACGCAAATTGTGTATAAGTATGTAATACAAAGGTTATGGACCCTCTAGAGGTCACAATTTTTATCCGATTTTGATGAAACTTAAAAAAAAGCTTTATATTCCCAAAATCTCATCCCTTTGATATTTGCGCATTTCAGACCATAACTTTCTGGATTATGTTCCCTGATTGTACAAAAAATCGTTTTTGTTTTTAGCTTGTTCTCTATCCATCTCTTGCAATTTGTGCGCGTATCCTACCTGGCAGCCGCTGTTTTTTTTTATTATCGTGAAATAACGAATCCGGCAAGTAATGCTAATACTGCTAATTTAAATTAACAAATAAATGATTGATTGGTCTAACATAATTGACATGTATATAATATTTGTAGAGATATAGCAGTAATAGATGACGAAGGTTATTGTAAAATAGTGGGTAGAATTAAAGATGTGATTATAAGAGGTGGTGAAAATGTCTACCCTACAGAAATAGAACAAATTCTTTATCAACATCCTAAAGTTAAAAATGTTCAAGTGAGTATATTTGTATTTAAACCAGGTTATCTCTTTAGTTAGATATTAATTTATTTGGCTGTAGCCAATTTCAAATATGGACCAGTGACTACTGTGGGATAAACCTTCTACAAATAGTTTGGACTTATAAATCATCCAAGTACAAGCTGTCTAATACTATGGTGGCTGATTGGTATCATGTCGTGATGTCGTAGTGTCGCCCTTCATAAGGCGACAACCCGACAACCCGACATCACGACATTATAACCCGACACCACCCGACATCACGACATTTTTAACCCGACACTACGACATTTTCACCCGACACCACGACATTAAGAATGTCGTAATGTCGCGTAAAAATGTCGTATTGTCGCGTAAAAATGTCGTGATGTCGGGGTGTCGTGATGTCGGGTTGTCGACTTTATTTATCAATGTTGAAGCGGCCACGAGATCAAGTCAGCCCTCACTATCTCATCCTTCACTAAGAATACAGTACTTACCCTTCATGCACTAACTGCGAATCAAGCTGGCTCTCACTACCAAATTAAGAATCTACATATCAGTAGAAAGCACGTTCACTGTTCTTTTCAAATATATAAATAATTTTCTGGCACATTTATATTTACTTCCCTTGAAAAGTGAAAGGGAGGGGGGGGGGGGGGTTTATTTGAAATAAAAATGCGGGCTTAATCCAAAATTTCGTATATCTATACTGAAAAGTAAAGTTAATCCTCTCTTGAAAAGTATTTATTATATTTTCGGCGGAATGCATATATACTTTTTTTTTAAAATTAAAATTGATACAAGTTTGGTAGCCTTCACTGGCTGAATTAAAGAGAGTGGTGGGGTGGGGCGAGTGTTTAATGTCAACATACGTGTCCTAATACGAAATTCCAGTGATATACATCGGGGGGGGGGGGGGCTGAATGGTTAGCATATGTGCGCGCTGTATCATAAAGTCTGTCATTGAGTCAATTGGCGTGGTTTCTATTCCCCGGTTGTACGTGACAAGGAGTAGGGTCGCCTGTCCAATCTCGTGGGTTTCCTCCGGGTCCTCCGGTTTCCTCCCACTGCTAAAGACCCCTTCGCGCATATTAAACCATAGGTTGGTCCCGAAATGACCTAGTTTGTGTCGAGTGGACGTTACACCCCCCTCTCTCTCTCTCTCTCTCTCTCTTACATCACCGGAAAGTAGGTTTCTATGACTCTTTAAATCTACTTATTATTTTCTGGCACATTCACAATTAGATACTTTAGTCAAGGACAGCTGTCTAGTCGTTCGGATGGGACGAAAAACCGAGGTCTCGTGTACACATTGGCGTGCACGTAAAAGATCCCTTGGCAGTTGGAATTCGATATAAGAGTAGGCCGTAGCGCCGCTGCTGGGGGAAAATTTCCCTCATAGCACACTGTATGGCGTATGCCCGTCTTCATTAGCCCAGGTTAGGAGCAGAACAGTAGGACGTTAAACCCCATTTCATTTACATACTTTAAAAGAGATAAAGGCATTCTTAGTGAAGGATGAGATAGTGAGGGCTGACATGATCTCGGAAAGGGACAGCTCTCTATTATTCATGGCCGCTTCAACATTGATAAATAAAGTCGACAACCCGACATCACGACACCCCGACATCACGACACCACGACAACCCGACATCACGATATTACGACATTTTTACGCGACAATACGACATTTTTACGCGACATGACGACATTCTTAATGTCGTGGTGTCGGGTGAAAATGTCATAGTGTCGGGTTACAAATGTCGTGATGTCGGGTTGTCGTGTCGGGTTGTGATGTTGTGATGTCGGGTTGTCGGGTTGTCGCCTTATGAAGGGCGACACCACGAGATCACGACATGATACCAATCAGCCACCATAAATACAACTATCTGGGGCAGCAGGGAGATATGCAGACGTTCATGATTGAGCGGCCAGGTCCAGCATATTGCAGGATTAGAAAATGGAGCTCCAAGAAAAGCACTTACAAGATCCAAAGATCCGTAATCTAGCTAACTATAACAGCAATGACCACACAAATAGTTATGGGTGTTGTGCAAGGTATTTTTTACTATTTCTGCATTTAGAATTCTCAATGGACGGCAGTTCACGTTGCTTAAAAGCTTTGTCACCGGTTTATTGTCTTGGTTATTTCTGTTTTATCAAGAAATATTTATTAACGTCTATTATACAGGTGGTTGGTGTACCTGATAAACGACTAGGAGAGGAAATTTGTGCTTGTATAGAATTAAAATCAGGAGTTACTTCAACCGCTGATGAAATTATTCAGTATTGTCGACAACAGGTATTGTATTATGTTTTGCAATGGCCCTTATACTTATGTCTACAGTCGTGTTTCTGACATCAGGTTATGTTGAATGTCCTATGATAGACTGAAAAATGGCAATTAAATCTTGACAATCTTGAGATCCGTTACAGATGGGAAAATGTGTGGTAAGAGCTAGCAATAAAATTAAAAATCTCTTATGATGTTGTATCCATTTTAATTAGTTTTCCTTTACTTATATTTTCCTTTATACATTTGTTTTTTTTTTCAGCTGGCTAGATTCAAAGTTCCAAAATATGTTGAATTTGTTGACCACTATCCATTGACTGTTTCTGGTAAAGTGATGAAATTCAAAATCCGAGAGGATATGGTGCAAAAATTAGGATTGCAACATATTCACCCCTATTAGAGATTATTATCCCAGACACCAACCCTCTTGCCTGTCTGTCAATTACTCTGCTTCTAATGATGGAGGTGGAATATTCAAACTTGGTGCTGTTGTTCAGTATATAGGTGAATGCTTTGGCTCCATTTGATCATGAACATTTTTTGCTTAAAATAAGCAGAGATATATAATTTGATTATGAACATATTTTGATTAGACCAAGCAGTTTGATTTGGGACATGGTAACTTTAATTTAAATTTGGTGAGAGTGATGATGCTCATATGGATATAGTAGCTACATACATCAAAAAGCTTTTCAACCCTATCTCTGTGTGTGATATGGGAAACATTGATGATTTTTTTTTAACTTTTTAAATGACAAAAGAACGGTATCTGAGTACAGACTAAAAAAAATCATATTTTCCACAAAAATTCATTTTAAAATAGCGAATTTCAAGTTTTCATCTGCTAAAAGCCTATTGATTGTGTCTTAATGCCTCTCTTCAGACATATTAGCATGCATATCTTTCAGAAATTTAATGGTATCTATATATAAAACGTTGTTTATTATTTTTGTATAATTCCATTTAAAAAATACCGCAGAACATGCTTTGCGTATATAAGGTATGTTAACTATGTTGTAGGGTGCAATTTCCGGATTAAGAAAAAGACACAAGGGTTCAGGTTCTCGCATAAATCGGTTTATTAATAATAACCACAATAAAAACCCTGAAATACATAAATACGTACTATAAATAAAACATAACATTTACACCAATTCATTAAAACATTACAATCACAAATATCACAGATAAACAACTATACATAATATTATACGACTCCATAGATCTAATTTATAATATAATAATGAATGATTTGAAATAATACTTAAAATATATATATATTAATTACTAACTTATAATATATATATATTATATAACTTAATTACTAATATAATTGACTGGCTAGGTGCTTACCCTATAAAGGGGTTTTCCAACCACATGGAAGCCAAAAGATGGTGGCAAGCACTTCCAATAAACCTGTAAAGTTATACACATCTATAAATATGTGAATGGTAAATAATATTGAAGTGAAAGACTTCAATGGTAATATAGGATAACGTACTAACCCAGGATACTTTGTAACTTCAAGATATTTAATTTAAATGAAACATTTAAATATTACTTTTACTAAAATTCAAGATGGCTGCCAATCTATAAACTACTATTACTATTACTGGTTAAAATATATTGGTACCTAATTTAAAACAATTATTAACTTAAACATTACACATACCTGCTGTTGAATCTGTAATTCCTATTTAATTCATCTGTAACCTTATTAAACACTATACTATATCAAACTAAAGCTAATTATAGAAATTGGAATATTGATGAAATACCAAAATCCCGCCAAAACTAACTAACTAGTAGATACCTGGAGAAAATCAGAAGGTGATCTTTCTCCAACAAAATCTAAAGTAAGAATGTCAAAATAGTCAGGTGACCAATGAATGTTCAGATAAGAGAGAACATGCACATGGTGAGTTGAACACTACTCACCAGTCCACAAGAAAACTATAGAGACAGACAAGGGTGATAAAGATGTTATAGCAATACTTGGTGTGTAAGGTTAAATGTGCTCACTGTGTTAAAACATGCATAAAAGGACACTGTGCAAAAAGAACACTATACAATAAAATAGCATATATTATACAAATAGATTAAAATAAATCTTAACTCTGTCACAACTATATATATTGATTAATGCTATCAGATAATTTTGCTTTCTTAGTAAAATTTTTATGTATGTTAAATCGGTGTAGTTTATTTCTTCAGATATATCTTCCCAAAGAAAATATCTGCCTATCGACCCACACTCGGATTATAATAACCAGTGGCGACAATGTCCACGTCGGTGATCAACATTTTCGACAATTGGGATAAAAATATACATGGTCGTAAAATTAATATTAAAAGTTGACCTAAAAAATTGAACCCTGTGTGAGCTGTGAATAAAAACCATACTTGCGCTTTCAAATACGACAAGTATTTCAATGGGACGCAACCCGAGGTCATGTGTAGACATTGGTGTGCATGTAAAAGAACCCTTGGTAGTTGGAATTTGATACAAAAGTAGCCTGTAGCACCACGGTGTCCTAGACAAAATGTCCCTTATAGCATATTGTAGCCGTACGTCAGTCTTCATTAGCCCATACAGTCGGTTCAGAAAAGTAGAAGGTTTAACTCCATTTCATTTCTTATATATCTTATCATTATAATATGGGCCATAAAAAGGAAAGTGGGCAATCAATTGGTATGCTGTTCGACAACTCCAATTTTGTGTAAAGGCAGGGGCCATAAAGCAATCTAATCAAAGGCCTTTGTATCCTGGACATATATTTATGCTTCATCTAAATTGGACAATAATATTGTGACCTCTAGATGGTCCACAACCTTGGTACATGCTTTGTCACTATACCTGCGTGTGGAGGGACAATTTTAACGGTTAATTGTGTGGTCCGATTTATATCAAAATCGAACTCGTGGTAGGTGTTTGTGCATTGAATATTATATTTTAAGTTGCATCAAATTCAACTTAAACTTGTAACCCCGCGATCTTCAGGACCCACAAGATACGTATGTAATATCAGGGGAAATTATACAAAAAGTTACGATCCGATATGTGCCAAAATCGAAACCATCCGAGATCTTTGGGATATAACCAAATATATTAAATTTCACCAAGAAAAAATCGGATGATAGCTGTGACCTCTAAAACGTTTCCCCCCAAAAAATATGAACGGACGGACATGGGCGACGACATAATACAATATGTGGACGTATAAAAAACTCTGTTCCAACAGTCCAATCTGGGAAAATTTGTACATGTTTTACCAGAACCCTAGGTAAATAAATGAAGAATATGGATGGATACATTGCAAGTGTATATCCCCGCTCCCTTTCAAAAGTCACCATAACCGTTGATTAAAATATAACCTTCCGTTGTGGCATGTATGTAGTACACAGATCAGGGGCGGATCCAGAGGAAGAGGGGGGGGGTCGACCCCTCCCCCCCAACCCCGCTAAGCTACATAATTTTTTTTGTAAATCAATATTTTTGATATTTATACATCAATATAAGTATAAAGTATAAAAAAGTTGTAATATATACATGCGACATATTTGATGTCATTAAGGTATATAATACACACGTATTTGTATACTGTTAATACATATCAGAACGTATACTGAATAATCAACAGGGAATAAAGACAAACAAGATATTATTTCAAGGATATACCAAAATGTAGCCTGTTACCCCTCTATCTCTAATGGGCACCACCAAGAAACTCGACTGATAAGCTTTTCTGGGTTAGTCCATTATATGAAAGTTTCCTGGTGGTCAGTCAATATGTTTAATGGATAGTTGATGTTCGTTCTGCAGTGTAAAGTTAGTATTATATAGGATTTTTTTGCTGTAACTTCACTTACACACCATGTCAGCTGCAAGTCAACATATAAAACCATTCCTCAAAACCTTATTCCGCAGAACTCTGATGAATCGCTTCCACTGGAAGTCTTCAAAATATCGGTAAGTAAAAGTAGAACTTCGTGGTACCGTACTGTCAACGTTTATATAACAGTTTCGTATTGTCTGTCATGTCTTGTGCGTGTCTAATTACCAAATCGTTTTAATTCTAGCAGACATTGCTGTACAAATCTAGGCTGCAACAAAGTATTAGTTTCTGTCCATCCGCCCCCCAAAAAGAGGATGTCGACTCCGGTTTCCTCCCACTGCTAAAGACCCCAACGCGCAAGCGAATTGTGTAAATAAAATTAATAAACCATATGTTAGTCCTGAAATGACCTAGTTTGTGTCGAGTGGACTTTAAACCCCATTTCTCTCTCTCTCTCTCTCTCTCTCTCTCTCTCTCTATGTAATAATGTATAATATAAAGGAGACGGTTTGTGAAATTGTTTACGTATGAATTGAATGTCTACAACAATAAATATATGGTTGGTGTTATGCGTTATTTATATATTTGGATCATGACGTGACTTTAAAATTTGTTAATAACCAGAAGCTTTTTATGAAGGGTGTTTCAGGTTTCACTGGTGTCCTCTAACCAAGAAAAATGTAGAAATACCAGATAAATTTATACATAAAATGGTCCCATGATGCATAGGCCCACTAGCTCTATGAATTTTAGGTGGGGGAGGGGCAGAAGCTGAAATGCCCAAAAAAATTTCAGGTTACAGACCCCCACCCCAAAGAAAATAACAACTTTATAGCCGTCTAATATAGCCTAACAAATTGGAGAATTTAACCGTGGTAAATGCGTTTTCCTGCAATTCTAGCTTGTGAATACAGCAACTTCAATGTGGTCCATTATAGCCTACCTTAGGTGACTTGCCTGAATCCCAAACAACCAATCAATCGTCGCGGAGTATGGGGGCCTTGGCAATGCTCACTAGTCTGCGGGTGCACTAGTCCTGCGTTCATTAGTCCATAAATGCACACCCATAACAAACTCTGACAATAATACTAACGGTCCCACCCTGACAATACAAGTTAACGCACCCGCACTGACAATGAAATGTAAAGCACTGACCCCAACCGACAATGATATGTAATGCTCCAACCCTGACAATGGTATGTACGCAACGCACCCACACTGACAGTGGTATGTAACCATTTTTCCAAGAATTGATTGCATTCAATATAAAAGTAGGCTGGTAGCATCGCTATCCGGGCAAAGTTTCCCTCATAGTACACTGTATAGTGCATGCCCGTCTTCATTAGCCCACTCAGAGCAGAACAGTAGGACGTTAAACCCCATTTCATTTCATTTAATTTTTCTACTTTTCTGCACCAACCAGACTATTGAAGATTGGCATATGCTATACAAAGGGCTATGATGGAAATTTTCTAGGGACAGTGGCATTTCTCCATCGAATTCCAACTGTGAAGGGTTCTTTTATGTGCACGCCAATGTGTACACATTTTTGTCCCATGTACACAACCAGACACTTTCCAACTGTCAGCAAACTCCTGGTTATATAGCCTCCTACAATAGGGAAAATGGATAAGAATCATGATCATATATGGAATTGTCTATTTATCACGTCATTGTATGATTAACTGACCAGATGCGCATTTCCTTTGAAGTCATGCGGAGCTTGTACACAGATCATATGTAGCTTGTAAATGACATATGGGATTAATTACATGTTTGATTAGAATGTGACTAACAGAAGTATATACAGAAGTCAATATCATATATTATCAAAAACCAGCTTAAGTAAAAAAGTTCTATCCACCTAAATGATCGTTCAATTTGATGAAAGTTATAGAGTCCTTTGTCACAAAGATGCATTATGTAAGATTTAGATAAATAAAGAGCCGACAGTTCTCACTATAATAGTTAAAAACTAGATAATGAAAAGGAAATATCTTGAAAATTTCAGTCAAATTATTTCATTCTGAGTGACATTAGATCTGTTTAAGAGAATAGCGGTGTCTCAATTGTCATTGATACCGGTGTTACAATAGTAAACAAAGTCTCGATTATCCAATTGTGTTTAAATCCTTAGAAAATCTAGAACATCCTATGGCTTTGAGAGTTGATTATGGTCTTGGCAAGTTAATAAATGTCTAATTACTAATTTATATATCTTTTAAGGCCTAAAGCAAGACCTGCAATAGGCAGATTTAGCTCTTGCATAATGCAACTTTAAATGTTGAATATTAGGGTTCATATTTCATGGCAAGATAACAACATCAATATTGATTGAAATGGGCCAGTTTTGAATTCTGTTTTTTATTTTTTTGGGGGGGAATGTTATGGAAAATATTTAGTTAGAAGGTTACAAGATTCAGAATTGACAAACAGAGTGATTTGGACAATATTATGAAAAATATGCAAACAGTGATAATCCTGTGGAGGTGAATACGTTAACATGTTAACGCTTACATGGTTAATCCAGAGATGTTCTTATTGCACTACATATGCTACCCCCTTGTCCCCATCCACCAACGCACCCCTACAAAAAAATAAGGAAAAAGAAAAGGGGGTCGGTGAATCATCAGTGCAAGCAGATGTTAAGTTATTTATAAGTGTACATACATACATAAGAAGTCAAGTATTATAAGTATTCAAATGTCAACATAAGTATACTAGTATTAAGTCAGGCATCAATGAACATCAATTGATGATAGCAGGTGAATAAAAGCATTCCCTTCTTAACACCAGAGCTTTATTAAATCAATTTTTGAAACATGAAACTATGCTAATTAGCATAGTACGCAATTTAACCCCTTTGCACCAAATTTATTTTGGAACATTTTTAGTATGATGTGCAGGGGACCTTACTGAAATGCATACAACCAAAAGAAATTCTATTGCAATTTGTTTTACATTGGGCCCTTTTTTCAGCTAGATTGCCTGGACTATTCATTGATAATCATTAAAAAATGTAGAGAATTATGGTTCTTTAGACAAATTCAGGCTACATCAAACACAATACCTAAGATGTCTGTCATTGTGTCTGGTACAGATTTTTACACCTAATTACCCTATTAGTCCATCTATCATCCACAATTGCTTGTGGATATTTTAGAGGCTTGGTTGACTAGAAATTTATCCGCAGTATTATGTTCATAAGATGAAGAATTATATTGATTTACAATAATTACTTCAGAGTTAATGAAAGATTTCATGGACACTCTGTAGACTAAAGTATGACCTGAAATTTATACACATTCAAGAGATGAAGAAGTCTTAATTTTCAATAATTTCAGATTATTCAAATAGCTATAGTTGTTATCTGAGGTTTTTTTACCTGTAGATATATCATATAATAATATAGAAATTTAGGTTATAATTATTTCTGATAATTACTTTCACACCCATAGCTATACAACTTTGTAGGGGTTATGTTCTGATATCTATCTGTCCCATATTTCGCACTGACTTGCCCAGTGGCCCCTGTCTTGTCACTATGTCCATTGTTCAGAGTTCACTAGAGCACAATTTTCTGGCCTTGAAAACTCATTTGCAGCCGTCCAATTTTCAAAAATTGACCATTTTGAAAGGTGTATGGGTGGGTAAATGACATACCTATTGAAACCTAAATCCGCACTTACCCGTCGTTCATTCAACCATATATATGTAGTAGTTTTATTCAACATCTGTTTTTCTGTGTATTAAAGATATTGTAGTAATGCTGGTGTTGAAAAATTAAAATGGAGTTATGTACATGGTAATGATAGTCAACCGTTACTAGGAATCACCATTGGTAAAGCTTTACAAAATACAGTGGAAAGAAATCCAACTAAAGAGGCTGTAGTTTTCTATGATGATGGAATACGAAAGACAAATGAACAGCTTTTTGAAGAGGTAATGTTTATTTAGTTTTTGGTTGGGCCTGTCTGCCATATTATCTGACCATGATTATTATGTAAATAACCTCAATTGCTTATATTCTGACCTCATAAGACACAGTCATACAAATGTTACAATGTACTGTTTGTTGTGAGGGCTTTTCCCCGCGTCACTTGAGGATACAACTCGGTTATTCCTGAAATTATAGCATCCATATATATATATATGTAGATATGGGAGACATTTCATTATTTTGACAACGACAGCCATGGTGACTAAGCGAGTAAAATGTTGGCTCGCTAGCCTGGATGTCACAGGTTCAATCCAGGTGTTAGGGATTTTTTGATGTGGTGCAGGACAGAGGGCCTGACAAGGACAGCTGTCTAGTCGTTGGGATGGGATATGAAAATGAGGTCCCGTGTACACATTGGTGTGCACGTAAGAGGTCCCTTGGCATTTGGAATTCGATATAAGAGTAGTCCGTAGCACTGCTGTCCTGGCAAAATTTCCCTCATAGCACACTGTATAGCGTATGCCTGTCTTCAACCCAGTTCCATTTTCTGAATTTAACATTTCTTAATGTGTTGTTTTAGTGTTTGGTTCAGTTTTTATACGCCCACATTTAAATGTGGTTGTGTATTGTCGTGGGTCCGGCGTCCACAATTGCTTGTGGACGCTCTAGAGGCTAAAGTTAATATTCAATTGACTTTAAATTTATACACAGTGTTTAAGGTCATGAGACGAAGAAGCCTATTGATTTTCAGCGATTCCCGATAATTACTGCCAGAGTTATGACCCTTGATCACTTTGAAAAATCTTGTGGACGATCTAGAGGCCAAAGTTAATATCCGATTGACTTTAAATTTATACACAGTGTTTAAGGTCATGAGACAAAGAAGCCTATTGATTTTCAGCGATTTCCTATAATTACTGCCAGAGTTATGGTCCTTGATTCAAAAAATCTTGTGGACGCTCTAGAGGCCATAGTTAATAATATCCGATTGACCTTAAATTTATACACAGTGTTTAAGGTCACGAGATGAAGAATCCTATTGATTTTCAACGATTTCCGATAATTACTGCCAAAGTTATGGCCCTTGATCACTTTGCAAAATCTTGTGATGCTATAAAGGCTAAAGTTATCATCCGATTAACTTCCGGTTGATACACAGCGTTTAAGATCTTGAGACGAACAAGTATATTGATTTTTAATGAATTTTTATGACTTGGAACAGGTAAATCCATGATATCAAAAGTGTTGTATACAAAACGTTAGCATGGGGCAGAACTTGTAAAAGCCAAACAAATTCTAATGGTTTTCTGAGTTGTTGCTCTTAATCAGATTTTAGTGTATTATAAATGTTTCATTACCGAAAAAAGTAAAAACTCTTGTTGACTGCCCAGACAATTTAGCTGCTGTGGGCGTATGTTTCGTTGCCTGGCAACCTATCTTTAACTAACTCAGAATGTCTCCTGATCTATCTATTTATTCTTCGATTGAACCTAATTATACATATATACTTATTAAGTATATGTTATAGTTTATAATTGTTAATTATAGGTGTTTGTGGATGTTAGTGAAATTTATAAAGGAGCATATCATTAAAATATGCGCGCTGTATCATTAGGCCTGTCATTGAGTTAACTGGTGTGGTTTCAATCCCCGGTTGTACGTGACAAGGAGTAGGGTTGCCTGTCCAACCTCGTGGGTTTTCTCCGGTTTCCTCCCACTGCTAAAGACCCCTACATGCAAGCGAATTATTGAAATAAAATTAAACCATATGTTAGTCCCGGGGTGACCTAGTTTTTGTCGAGTGAAAGTTAAACCCCATTTCTCTCTCTCTCTCTGAAGTTTTGGGACATGATAACTTTTTTTCTTATTGTGTCAGAAATGAAATGAAATGGGGTTTAACTTCCTATATTGTTCTGCTCCGAACTGGGCTAATGAAGACAGGCATATGCCATACAGTGTGCTATGACGGAACATTTGCCCAGGCAGCAGCACTACGACTTACTCTTATATCAAATTCCAACTGTCAAGGGATCTTTTACGTGCACGCCAATGTGTACATGGGACCTCGTTTTTCGTCCCATCCGAGCTACTAGACAGCTGTCCTTGTCAGGCATCACTGACAAGGGGGAACCATGTCGGGAAAATCTGGATGAGCGATCTCGGCCAATGCAGGGATCGAACTTATTGTGTCAGAGTAATGAAACTTGTGGCTGTATAATTTTATTACATCAATACCCTGGGGCGGGGGATGGGGCGGGGGATGGGGGGTGGTGGATGGCCGAATGGTTAGCATGTGCGCACTGTATTATAAGTCCTGTCATTGAGTCAACTGGCGTGATTTTGAATCCCCGGTTGTACGTGGCAAGGAGTAGGGTTGCCTGTCCAACCTCGTGGGTTTTCTCCGGGTTCTCCGGTTTCCTCCCACTGCTAAAGACCCCTACACGCAAGCGAATTATTGAAATAAAATTAAACCATATGTTAGTCCCAAAATGACCTAGTCTGTGTTGAGTGGACGTTAAACCCCATCTCTCTCTCTCTCTCTCTCTCTCTCTCCCTCTCTCTCTCTCTCTCTCTCTCTCATCAATACCTGGACTTAGATCAATACTGATATTTTGAGCACAGGTTAAGCAGAGTGATAGGCAATTTGATTGGTTGAAACTTTGGAGATTGATAAATTTGATTCCAATTGAATTAGAGTGGTGAAACTTGGTGTATAGTTTCATTGCATCAAAGAAAAGCATTTACAGTATCTCTGCTTCTAACAGAGGTAAAATGTTCAATCTTAGTGTACATGTTCACTAGGTGAATTACTTGACTGAGTGCAAGATGATATGACTCATACATAGTATTTAAAGGGTTGATTTTTTTTGTAGGTTGATCAATTTGCTGCGGGACTGGCTAACATTGGACTAAAGAGAGGTGACAGAATAGGAATATGGGGACCAAACAGATATGAATGGATAATAACTCAGTATGCATCTGCAAGACTTGGTCTAATTCTGGTGAGAAAATCTGAATGAACCATGTTTTTATTCCGTCTATTATCGTTTAAGCTCCACAACTATATGAGTTGTGTAAATTAGGTGTCATGCATGAGGTAGAGTATGCTACCTGTCGCCGGGTTCTTTCTTTAGGAATTTGATTCTTGTTATCTAGGTTATAATAGCTTACTGATCGGAAATCACTTTCACGTTTTGTCCATGGTTATATTTAATTCTTATACGCCCACATTGTTGGCAGCTTGTCTGGTGGTCCGTCGTCCACAATTGCTTGTAGAACTATATAGGCTGAAATTATCATCTGATTTACTGTTATGTTTAATTTAATACGCCCATATTAAGCTGTGGTATTATACTGTCGTCACCCCTGTTTGTCTGGTATATCCCATGATTACATTAAAAGTCCATTTAATCTTTCAAATTAACCTAGACAGTTGATAACAGGTTAAATATGATTTATTTTCAGGTTAATATTAATCCTCAATATAAACAGAATGAATTGGAATATGCATTGAGAAAGGTATGTATCTATTGTAGTCATCAATTTAATGATATACGTACATAGAAATAAAGACTGTCACCTAACATATTCTGAAATACATTACATCAGAGATTAGGCTGTTTTCTATCAAGAAATGACAAGTTATTAGAGAATTTGGGTTATTGGTGTGAAGTATGTGAGTCATGAGAGGATGACCCAATAGATTTTTAGCACACCACAACCTTTCGTTCCAGAGACCCCCCCCCCCCCCCCGCTTTTCTGAAAACTTTATTAAAGATACAGTATAGGAGATTTTAATAGAGAGTTGGTCATTCTTGCTATAACAGTTCAAAAATAGATGATGAAAGAAGAATATATTGAAAATTTCAGTCAAATTACTTTATTCTGAACAAAGTTATCACAATTGTAATTTTTGACTAGAAATAGGAGTCAACTCTCTCTTCACTGTCTCCAAGAATGGCTGATCGTTTGATTGACAGGCGTTAACTCCACCTACATAATCTCGATTATCAAGTAAGGTTTTCAAAGGCTGTGGTACCGTTAGTCATTCGGTTTGAGAAGGGGTAGCAATTCAATTCGTATCACATTTATTTTTACTACAAATAAATAATAAGACTTAATATATAGATAAGAAGCGAAAGTTTGAAAGGAATGGACCAAATCAATGAGGCATAATTATAGCCGACTTCTTGTTAGCCTGCGGGTACTCTTGTACTGTAACTGGTAGGCCTACGTCCCGAAGCAGACAAATACTTAAATAGGAAACAGTGATGCAATCGGGCTGCAATTCAACTGGGGTGATGCGATGTTTATCAATTTCCATAATTTTTCTTTAAACGTAAATGACAAAAGAGCATATAATACCATCATCCAAACTCTCATTTTAACCACAACTAAACATAATATCAAGGCTGTATATATATATCGAACTTTCAATCAAATTGACTGACATGCGGCCTCGCTAAACAGCGGCCTCGCTTCGTACACTCTATCATTTAGCCGTGATCTAAGATTTCCAGGAGAATGACGTCAACGTAACACTTAATCTCCGCTTACGACGCCATTTAAAAATTTAATCAGTCAATGAAATCCTGTTTAAGTCCAAGCCAAATCCAAGCCATCCGTGGGTCTACAGAGTTAATTTTGTGCTTGTTGTGTAAATAAAGATCTAATTTATAATTTCTCTGACATCTGAAGCGCTAACAAAGTTACCTCATTGAGAAAAGATCGACTTCTGATATTGAATATTTAAGACACAGTGAATATTTTAAAATTGGCACACGAATCTCGTGCCAGAATGCTTTTGAGCGCCATTTGTAATGACACGACTTGATGAATGAGGCTAAACATATCTCAGGGGAGAATACTACCGGTGTAGACTGCATTAACCAGACGCCAAAGAATGTTACTCAATTGGGACTCTTATTTCGCCGAACATAACTGATTAGATATTACAGTAAAACCAGAAACGATATATATACATTCATATTATATTATTATATGCGTTGCAACCCATTTGTGTCCTTGTTAGTGTTCAGCAATTTAAGATTTTCTGTTATAGCGATTTTTGAGAGGATCCTAGATCCTTATTGAATTTGGTCAACATCTAATTTTTCATTTCGAATAGGATGCTGTTGAGACATAGCTGGTATCTGGGCATATTGGCTGTCATTTAAAGTGGAACATTGAAAAAAATAGTTGTTAAATTTATGTCTATATAATTTGATTATGCATTTGAATTGTTTTTCTTCCAGGTTGGATGTAAAGCTTTAGTATCAGCCATTAGTCATCAGAATCAGGATTATTATGAAATGTTGTTCAACATTATACCAGAACTAGCAGCTGACCACCCAAATGATATCAAAAGTCATTTGTAGGTAAATTTATAGTTTATTATAGTATTATTTTACATGTATTTAATGAATAATTTGAAAATTTTATCCATTTTTCTACACGACGTTTCTTTTAAATGAGCTAAATCGCTATTCTTTGGCACCTAGAAATAGACACAGATGGGTGGCAATACATATAATAATGTAACATGAATGTATATAAACTGATTTACATTCAATTGTTTTTGTTTTTACTGTAATTTCTAATCAGTTATGCTCCGCAAAGTCATGTTTGCAATGTCAAAGATTGTGGATAATATTGAGCATGAGTTAAAGACTTGCCTCCTTTAAACAATATATTTTTATGTTCAAATTTCCTTTATTTAACATAAATGTTAATTTTACTCTTGATTTGGCCATGGATCATGTTTGTGATAATGGGCCATTTCAGTAATGGTAGACTAGCTGTATACAATTTCTTCCAATTAGTCATGGATCATTTTAGTAATAATAAGTCAGTAAAGATATATACAATTTATTCTCTCTTCAGATTACCAGAATTTAAAACACTTATAATGATGGGTGAATCCAAATATAGGTAGGTGGACACTATGTGTTAGATAAATGTGGACTGTAAAACTAATTAATGTGTTAAATGCAATGTCTCCAGTAGCATTAATTTCAAAACACATTTCTGTTCTGTAGAATAATAAAATTAGTATTATTTATTATATCCTGAAATGATACGATCAAACAAATAATGCCTCTTTATTAGATTAAGAAATATAATTTTAACTACTATCAAGTCAAATATCAGCATGTTAGCAGATTTAACATGAATTATTAACAACAATAATACATTGAACTGTAGCTCTTTAATAAAGAATACAATAATCCCCAATGATTCTTGTCTCTTAGACCGGCTCTATCTTTTTCCCAAATTTTCGTTGGGTAGAACACTTTCTACCACAGCTGGAGCAACATGGATAACTTAAGATACACAAACTAAACTAAAGACCAGTAAACATGCAATTTCTGCCCTACATATCAACCTAATCAGCCTCTCATCTCTCGTATCCTTCTGCCTCGAAATCATGAATATTCACCAAAATCTGGCAGAAAATGTATTTTCAAACCCTTTTCTTCGATTCTACACCAAAAAGTCAACAAAAATGGCCATGCAAAAGGGGCAAAAAGGGAAAGGGAGAGGTGCAGGAATATTTGGTGAGCTGTATTGTATAGTCAGGTACTGCATGATCAGATGCTAGTTATCTCCCTTCTGTAAAATTCTGTAATAAGGAAACGTCCAATTACCGTATCTTTTAGCCATCTGTAAGAAGAGGTCAATTAAAATTGGTTTGTCTCTCTGTCGCACTTTCTAATTGAAGTAGAATGTTCAAACTTAGGTAGATATTCATGAGGTGAATGTCTTGACTGAGTTTGATCACGATCATTTTCAGATTAGTCTGAGCTGAGATGATTAACAATTTGATTCTAATTAAATTTATGAAACTTTCTGGATAGTTTGATAACATCCATTTCTGGATTAGTTTGGATAATTAGCATTTCTTATCAAGTTTAGCACACTGAAAAACAATTATAACTTGAGAATGGATATCATTTAATTAGAGTAGTGTAATGTTTGGCAAAAAATGTGATGGGTTACAGAATATGTAAACCCCTTGTTATCTATTTTAATTATATATATTTAAGAGGGGCGTTACGGTTTAGTGAAATCAGTGAAGCTGGTGGAAATAAAGAAAGAGATTATATTCTAGATCTACAAAATAAACTCCAATTTGATGACCCAATCAACATTCAGTTTACATCAGTAAGCATTCTTATCAAATCAAAAGCTCAAAATATATGATAAATTGTTGTTAACTACAGTACTGGAAACACAAAGCTTGTAGACCGTCTATACAATCCATACTTGAATTATCAATACTTTGTCTATAATATATATAATCCAATTACTAAGTCTCTTTTCACTAACATGAAGTGTTATAAAAAAAATATGTCACATCATTAGGATGGGTATAAAATACCCCCCAAAAAACAAATTATCCGTTGGGTAGGCACAGATTGTGCGATAAATCTTTAATCTGTATTGTGAAAAGATCCCAAAAATTTATTTTTGAATGATATATTTCAGGGAACTACTGGTTCACCAAAAGGAGTAACACTTTCTCATCATAATATTACCAATAATTCTCATACTGTAGGTGTAAGATTAGATTATCATCAAAGGGTAAGTATTGTTACATAACAGTGTATTTACTCTATATTTTAAAGAAGTTAGATCTAAAAGTGTTGATTTGACTTGATGTGTCATCAGTGTTTGAGTGAGATTTATTTATGTTCCATATTTATTATATGCATGCTGTAGACTTTACAAAGTTTTCTTCTCTTTTGATATATTTTCCTATTGCTGTGTTTTGCTGAAAATTGAATCATCCCCAGGTTTTTAATCATTGTCTCTGTTATTTTCATTGATTTTGTTTTACCAATTTAGTCAATATACCATCAGGAAACAGGAGGACTGGATACACAAATTATTATTATAACGTATGCAACTGGGTACACAGAAATCAATTTCTTCACATAACTCAAATTCCTGTCAGATATATATATATATATATTTTCTATTTTTAAGGAATCCCGAATATGTTGTCCTGTTCCACTATATCATTGTTTTGGCATGGTATTAGGCAGTTTATCACTATGTATGCATGGCGCTTGTGTTGTTTTTCCTGCGGCCAGTTTTAAACCAGAGTTAACTCTACAAGCTGTACAAGATGAAAAGTATGATAAACAATCACCACTATGATTGAGCCACATATATTTGTGGGAAGATAGACTGCTAAAAGGGAGATAAAAACTATGTCTACAATACAAACTTGGACTAGTTTTTCTCTCCCCCATTGACTTCAACGTTAAATCCATAACATTTCTTGGCAAATAATATTCTTTGAATATTCCCACGATCTTAATCTCTATAACCGCAAAGAGCCCAATATGTCACAATCATCTGATAAAAATATTGAAAGGGGTTGACCATTCGTTTTTTTGTCTCATCTAAGGAATTTATTGGCAGTGACGTGAATTTAGTAGGCGATCACTTTAATTCATGCCTGTTTATACTTCCTGATCTGTCTGTCCCAAAATCATGAATACTCTGGCAGAAAATGGAATCAAAACATTTGATTTTAGACCAAAAAATCAACAAAACATGCCAGGGAAAAGGGAGAAAGAGAGAATTGCTATGAATAAAGGCACTACACATACATTTGTCCATATTGAAATCTAGAGAAATAATTACTAGTCTTAGTCCATTCATAGTCTATACTTTTGCCCTTTTTTGTACGGGGGGTTGGATGGCTGAATGGTTAGTACGTGCGTGCTGTATCATAAAGTCTGTCATTGAGTCAACTGGCGTGGTTTTGAATCCCCGGTTGTACATGACAAGGAGTAGGGTCGCCTGTCCAACCTTGTGGGTTTTCTCCGTGTCCTCTGGTTTCCTCCCACTGCTAAAGACCCCTACGCACAAGCGAATTATGGAAATAAAATTGAACCATATGTTAGTCCCGAAATGACCTAGTTTGTGTCGAGTGGACGTTAAACCCCATTTCTCTCTCTCTCCCCTTTTTTGTACGGAGGATTTCAATTTAATAATACAATCCATCAGGACTTTAAAGCAATAACCCAAAATACATCATGTCTTTCTCTTCCTGTGGGCCACGGTGTGGGGTGGGTTGAAGATTTGCTATGGATAAAAATTTTTTTAGTCTGTTTTGACTTAGCCATATGATATGGGAGCCATAAATTTTGGTTTGGCTCAATAATTATTCTACACCTTAAATACAGTAGATGCAACAGAGTTTTTATACACCCACATGCATCCTCTTTGTATACCTCAAATCTTTCCAGACCAATTTTGACTTCAGACGACAATACAGGACACAATCCACCTTGTAATGTATCAAAACTTAGAATGTAAATTCAAATGAAAATTTCTGAATTATGTCCCTGTTTAAATTTATAAAATGTTGTGAATGCCAGAGGTGGGGAACCCGGTCGACTGGTTTGGTGTTTGCTGACCAGTTCTTGCAGGTTTTTGGCAAAAGGTATAGTTTACCAACCCACATATTTTGAGTGATCTTTTTTGTCTAAGTAGGCCTACTTATCTACCAGAAAATGACTCTAAAATACAGCAATTTACAAAAATATCTCAAGGGCGGGTGAGAAAATGCTCTGATGACTTGGCTGCTGTGGGCATGTTTTGTTTATAGATATTCAGTGCATCGAAAATATGTGGATGGTTGGCTTATATTAGATATATTGACCTGATTTTTTTTATTTTAGATGTACATCATTATATGGAGTGCCTACTATGTTTATAGATATGCTCAATCATCCCGACTTTCACAATTATAACTTCTCTAGCTTATATACTGGTGTCATGGCCGGTTCTCCTTGCCCTATAGAGGTCATGAAAGCAGTCAACACAAAGATGAATATGCCAGAAGTCATTGTGAGTAGTGTTGTATAGCCAAATATCAGTTCTAAGGATGTATAATGGTAGGGGGAGCCACAGTGTCTAAGTGAGTAAGACGCTGGCTCGCTAGTCTGGAGGTCACTAGTTCGCTGTCTAGTCATTTGGGTAGTACAAAAAACCGAGGTCCTGTGTACACATTGGCGTGCACATTAAAGATCCCCTGGCAGTTGGAATTCGGTATAAGAGTAGGCCATAGTGCCGCTGTCTGAGCAAACTTTGCCTCATAGCACACTGTATGGCGTATGCCTGTGTTCATTATCCTAGTCGGAGCAGATCAGTAGGACGTTAAACCCCATCAAATTTCATCTTATTTGTATTATGGGGGTCTGTCTCCTTCTAAGGATTCGGGATTGATCTCCCTTACATATTTCCTGTTGTAAGTAAGACTGTATAAATATTGTAATGGTAGGAGTGAACTCTCTTGGAGTAGGTGAATAAACATTCGCCTATGGTAAAGTGTATTAGAGCCTACACATCAAATTTAAAAGTAAAAAAATAATCTGACATTCTGTGAAACCCCTTTTAACAGATTGGCAAACATTACTAGGATACAGATAAAATCTGATTACCCCCCTTTATCTAGTAAGCTTTGTGGTATTTAATATTATGTCATAATATACTATCCGTTTAGTATAAAAACATCTGAAACAAAACCTACTACAGTATATATATATTATGCTATTATATATATTCCCTTTTAATCTTGACTTGTCACTCATTTACCATTACTGTGTGTGGTTGTGGATCTAGCTTGATTACATACAGCACCTATCAAAAGCCCTTTATCTAAGTTAACACTGAGTCTTGATAAGGCATGATTTGCCAGCTCTGGATCTGCTGAAGTTAACAGAAGAGTTAATTAAAGTTGTCTCAAAATTAAGGTCACTTCTAAACAGCAAAAGCATTCTTGAAACATACCAGACTCCATGTCCAATTACACTACCAAACTATGAACTGATCAATCATTCTCAATCCCGGATTGAGACCACCTGAAATAGGTGGTTATTTATGGCTAGCGCCCGGATCCGTTCACTTGAATTGATAAGTCTGAATATATTATGTCCTGTCCGTATCTTTGTCTTGTGTAATTGTTTGTGAGTGGTGCAGTCATCCTGCACTTATTATATTACTACACTCTACTCAGAAACTTTTAAAGTAGTTTTAGTTCTACAGTGTCTATTCCTATGTTAATATGGTATGAAATTTATGGCAGTATTTAATTTTAGGTTTGCTATGGTTTAACTGAAACAAGCCCAGTTACTTTTAGTTCGTTTCGAGATAGCCCAATAGAGAAGAGAGTATCAACTATTGGATTACCTGGCAGCCATGTTGAGGTAATTGGGCAAAACAGTAATATTATATCAACTTTGTAGCATTAATTTTTTTTAAAGAAATTATTTAATTCTTGACTTATGTCCTGTTGAAAGCCATCTCTAAATATCATCTGACATATTTTGTTTAAAGTTGGTGTCAAATTGTCTAGCTTGTTATAAGAAGAAGGGGCTGTGTATTTTAGTGAAATATGGTAATGTATATATGAGAATCATCCTTAGGGGTTATGGTATATCATGACACAATGTTACTCTTTCTGGCAGAAAGTTGCTTAAGTTACAATGTCGTGTAAAATATTAATTTGGATAAAAAATAATATCAGTAAAATACTTCAATATTCAATAACTAGCAACATGGATTTAGGCCTTTAACAGATCAGTTCATTAATTATTCCTCTTTAATCTTACTGACAAAAAAAAAGTCTTTTAGAATTCACTGTGGCCTAAAATCCGGGCTGTAACAATTGCTCAGTTTCAATGAAGTGTCCTATTTTGTTTTATTATAGGCTAAAGTTATCAATGAAAATGGTGATATTGTTAAAACCGGTGTATCTGGTGAACTATGTACTAGAGGTTATACAACAATGTTATGTTATTGGGAAGATCCTGATAAAACAGCTGAAGTTGTTTCTCAATCTCGCTGGTTTCGTACAGGGTAATTCATCTTCTATAAGATCTTAATAAGGACTAATCAATTTAAAATTACTTTGGTTCTGAGTTGGAAGGTAACTTTTTAATATGATAAAATGTTGTAGGGCCTAGAAAAAATTTGATACTATTGAAAAATAATTCTCTTAACAATATGTGTATTTAGTTGGACGGGATTCTATAAGAAATGCTAAAATGTTAAAAGAACAGGGCTGAGCTGCATTAGATTTATAGAACATACAAATTGATTTATATTCCTTAGAGACATAGACATTATTTCAAATGTCACACAAATTATCTCCCCTCGATAGATATAATACAGTGGACTCTGTCACATCCGATCTCTGATCACTCCGGATTGCTGTGACATCCGGTATGATTTTCATGTCCCGATTTATTTCCTTATTACTTCAGCCAAAAAATCGCTGGTAAATCCGAATTCTGTATGTTCCGTATTCCGAAATCAATCAGCCGTCCTGTCACATAATTTCCATTGAATCGACACCGTATAATCCGTACTTCAAACGGTGGGTGTGAAGCATCCAATTATCGGTGAGATTAAAACTCAATGGGTGTGAACCCAGAAAAGATTAACAAGTAATCACCAATAAATTATCGGTGAGATTAAAACTCGCAAGCGCCGGTCTGTGTCTGTGAACCCGAGTTGTTTTAAGGGAGTGGACAAGATCTACCTGCCAGTCAATTGGTCGGCCAATCGCAAAGCTTGGATGACAGGTGCCGTTTACTTTGATTGGCTTGAAAAACTGGACATTGAACGACGGATTATAAATGAACACGTAACAGAGTGGACAATTGACTGAAGACGGGGACGATGAAGAATATACATTAACGACAGACTTGACCTATTCAAAATTCCTACGCATGCTCAATGACATTAAACACTTTCACAGATTAAGGACGAAAAGATGATCGCAACAATTCATTTGTTAGAAGATGTTGCCCAGGACTCCGCCTTACGATATGCTTCCGGTAATCTTAACTAAGCAAACTACTTTAAACGATTACATGCATTGATATTTATAAATATATTGTACGCATGCATTGATATTACATGTAAACGATTTTATGAATATATTGTACGCATGCATTGTTATTGTTAATTATTTAATATAATAAAAATTTGAAAGTACAGAAAAGTTTATCATTTATAAAGGGAATAGCATTCTGGTGATTCGAAGCTACAATATAAAAATACTTCCGGTTTTCGAGGTTACAGTATTTCCGGTTTTGGAGAAAGCTTGGTATTCCGAAACGCCGTGTGATCCGAATTATTGTAACGATCCCGTACGATGTCGGATGTGACAGAGTCCACTGTATAAGCTATATTAAGAAACAAGGAAAACATTAATAAAATCCTTAACCATATTTCATTAGAAGGGCTGGTTATAGGTGGGTAAAAGCAAGCAGACTGCTTGAGCTAATGTTTCTTATTGCCCACAAAGTTAAAAATACATTATGGGAGATTAGATAAAGAGCTGGTAATTCTCACTATAATACTTAAATACTAAATAATTTAAAGGGAATTTGCTAAAAATTTCAGTCAAATTGATCCACCCTGAAATGAGTATTTAGCAATTGAATTATGGGTCTAACCTAGATCATCATTACTAAAGTTCGTACGATAAAAAACATAGTCTCGATTATCCATTTTTTGATTTAATCAGAAGCAGGCTAGTGATGCCATCGAAAGTTGATTATGGTCGAGATAAGTTAATTAATGTCTAATTAATAATTTAGATAACATTTCAGGCTTAAAGAAAGACCTGCAATCGGCAGATTTAGCTCTTGCATAATGTATGTTTAAGTGGTGCAAAGAAGTAAGCACAAGATTTTTTGAGCCTTATGACAAGATAGCTATTGCAATTGTCTATAGTAGATTCAACTGATTGCTAGTACCTTTAGTTAATTTCCCATGATTTTTTTTATTATCGTGAAATAACGAATCCGGCAAGCAATGCTTATTTCAATTAACATATAAATGATTGATTGGTATTTGTAGAGATATAGCAGTAATAGATGATGAAGGTTATTGTAAAATAGTAGGTAGAATTAAAGATATGATTATAAGAGGTGGTGAAAATGTCTACCCTACAGAAATAGAACAAATTCTTTATCAACATCCTAAAGTTAAAGATGTTCAAGTGAGTATATTTGTATTTAAACCAGGTTATCTCTTTAGTTAGATATTAATTTATTTGGTTGTATCCAATTTCAAATATGGACCAGTGACTACTGTCAGATGAACCTTCTTCAAATATTTTGGACTTATTAATCATTTAAGTACAAACTTTGTAATATAACTATTCGGGGGCAGCAGGGAGATATGCATACAGATGTGATTGAGTGGCCAGGTCCAACATATCGCAGGATATGAAAGGGAGCTTGAAAACTCCAAAGATGTCTTCATCTAGCTATAAATGAAATGGGGGTTTAACATCCTTCTGTTATGCTCCCAATGGGCTAATAAAGATGGGCATACGCCATAGTGTGCAATGAGGGACATTTTGCCCGAACAGCAACACTATGGATTACTCTAATTTCAAATTCCAACTGTCAAGGTTTATTTTAATTGCGACACCAATGTGTACACAGGATCTCATTTTTTCGTTCCATCTGAACAACTGTATATTGTCCATTGCCCGGCCCTCCATCCTCTACCACAGACAACTGGGAACCGTGCTAATAAATCCAGATGATCTTTCTTGGTCGACACCGGGACCAAAGATGGGACCTCCAGGTTAGTGAGCCAACATCTTACTTACCTCAGTTCAAATCTAGCTGTAAGTAGTAGAGCACAATTCACAGCAAGGATTTTCTTTTATTTCTACATTTATTATACAGGTGGTTGGTGTACCTGATCAAAGACTAGGCGAGGAAATTTGTGCTTGTATAGAATTAAAATCAGGAGTTACTTCAACCGCTGACGAAATTATTCAATATTGTCGACAAAAGGTAGCCTACTATATGTATTATGTTTTGTAATTGCATGTACTACGATCATTAAATGTTGATTCAAGTGTATTTCTTTCTTAACTGTTCCTATTTTATATAAGGTGCCTTTCTTAACTGTTCCTATTTTTATACTCCCACATTGAAATGTGGTCATATCGTCGTCACCCTTATCCATCTGTTCGTGTTTATGGTCATGAGACGAAGACGGCTATTGATTTTCAGCAATTTCTGATAACTACTGCCCGAGTTATGGCCTTTGATCACTTTCGAAAAATCTTGTGGACGCTCTAGTGGCTACTGTTAATATCCGAATGACTTTAAGTTTATACACAATGTTTAATGTTATGAGACGAAGAAGCCTATTGATTTTCAACGATTTTGATAATTACTGCCAGAGTTCATTCTTGTTCATACTCTACAGACCAAAGTTATCATCCGATTGATGAGACAACAGAGTCTATTCACTCTTATCTGAATGGGATGTTACTCTTAATTAGTTTCTCGAGTGCTGTAAATGTTTTCATTACTGACAAAAAGAAAAGATATGCGAGAACCCTTGTTGACTGCCTGGACGACTAAGCTGCTGTGGGCGTATGTTTCGTTGCCTGGCAACCTATCTTATATAAGGTGACAAGTTGTCTACATAATGATCAAAATGGTAACTTTTCCCCTGAAGATTGCTGAGCTGAAGAAAATGTTTCTTTTGTTTTGCCCAAGTTTTACTGGGTCCAATTTAGGCCAACCTTGTGGGTTTTCTCCGGGTCCTCCGGTTTCCTCCCACTTCTAAAGACCCCTATGCACATTCGAATTACAGAAATAAAATTGAACCATGCGTTAGTACCGAAATGACCTCGTTCTCTCCAATTTAGACCAGCTTGATTTTGTTTGCAATATAAAGATTTATTGCTCTTTATGTCCATCACACTTTTTGGAACACAATAAATCTGGTTCTGATTGATGTAGAAGTTTCAAACTTGATGATGAATCTAAGGAGAGATAAGCAATTTGCTTTGCTGATGTTTTGGATTCTAATTGAATCTTGTGAAACCTGGTGATAAGCATTACCGTAACTGAGTATGATGACAAGCATTTTCTGCTTAGGCTAGATAGCAATAATCATTCACTCAAATTGGCCAAAATTTTGGAACACAATAACTGAGGTAGAATGTTCAACAATGGTGTAGATGTTCATTATGTGAATGGCTGGAACTAGTTAGATGATAAGCATTTTTCATTAAGGCTAAGTAGAGGTGTGCAATGTGATTGTAACATGAATAAGTTCGACATTGAGAATTTTCTGATTAGGCTATGTAGAGAGAAGCAATTTGAGTGCTCAATCCTTTACAAAAAGATAAATTTGCAAGTAATTAATAGGCGTCATCTATTTATTTTATTTATATAGAATTATAATTTACTTACATTTCTTTTTTTTTCCAGCTGGCTAGATTCAAAGTTCCAAAATATGTTGAATTTGTTGACCATTATCCATTGACTGTTACGGGCAAAGTGATGAAATTCAAAATCCGAGAGGATATGGTCCAAAAATTAGGACTGCAACATATTCACCCCCATTGATTCAATCAGCAATTATTGTATTTAGTGTATTTAAGCATGTGTTTGGGTGTAGTTGGCACTCTAAAAATGTACATATTATTGTTTTTATACGCCCACACTTAAATGTGGTCGTATATTGTTGTCGCCATTTCCGTCCTTCGGTTCGCTAAAGTTAAAAGTTAAAGTCTATAGGCTAAAGTTAATATCCGATTGACTTTAAATTTATACACAGTGTTTAAGGTCATGAGACGAAGAAGCCTATTGATTTTCAACGATTTTCGATAATTACTGCCAGAGTTATGGCCCTTGATCACTTCAAAAAATCTTGTGGACGCTCTAGAGGCTAAAGTTATCATCCGATTGACTTCAGATTGATACACAGAGTTTAAGGTCTTGAGACGAGCAAGTATATTGATTTTCAATGAATCTTTATGACTTGAACAGCTAAATCCATGATGTTAAAAGTTTCGTATACTAAACGTTAGCATGGGACAGTACTTTATAAAAACCAAACAAATTCTAATGGTTTTCTGATAATAACTTAATGAGTTGTTACTCTTAATCAGATTTTAATGTATTATAAATGTTTCATTACCGAAAAAAGTAAAACTATGCGACAACTCTTGTTGACTGCCTGGACGATATAGCTGCTGTGGGTGTATGTTTCGTTGCCTGGCAACCTATCTTTTCGACTATTAAAATAAATCATTGGTGAATTAGAAGTAATGGGTAGTTGAAAATCTAATTTAAATAACTGCTCACAGAGAGTAATAATACAAACATAGAAATCTGATCCAAGTGTATCATGTATGTATATGTTGAAATATTATAGTGATTTAATTTTTTATACGTCCACATTTTCATATGGATGTATATTGTCGTCACACTTTTCTGTCTGTCCGTCCGTCTTTTCTCTCAGTTCACATTTTATTTGTAGACACAAATTTTATCCGATATTGACAGAACTTGAAATATAGGTTTATATTCTTTTTGTCCCCTATCTTTCGAAGAAAGCAGGGGACTATTAAAATGGGTTCGTCCGTCTGTCTGTCTGTCTGTCTGTCCGTCACACTTTTTGGGACACAATAACTCTAATTGAGCTAGAATGTTCAAACTTGGTGTAGGTGTTTATTAGGTCAATACCTTGATGGAGTTCGAAGATAAGCAATTTGATTGGTTGATGCTTTGGGACACGAGTGAGAGTGATGAAACTTGGTGTATAGTTTCATTACATCAATACCTTGACTAAGTTCGATAATGAGCATTTTCTGCTCAGGGTAAACAGAGCGATAAGCAATTTGATTGGCCAGGATTTTGGAACACAATAACTCTCCTTCTAATTGAGGTAGAATGTTCAAACTTGGTGTAGGCATTCATTAGGTGAATCCCTTGATGGAATTCGATGATGAACATTGTCTGCTTACAGTAGGCAGAGATAAGCAATCTGATTGGTTGATGCCTTAGGGGCACGATAACTTTGGTTGTAATGAAGTGAGAGCGATGAAACTCTGAATATAGATTCATTATATCATTACCTTGACTAAGTTCGATTGTGCGATAAGCAATTTGATTGGTCAAAACTTTGGAGGTAGAATGTTTAAACCTGATGTAGATGTTCATTAGGTAAATGTCTTGACTGATTTCAATGATTAACATTTCAAGCTAAAGCTAAGCAGAGCTAATCAATTTCATTGGTCAATGCTTTGGGACAAGATAATCTTGATTCTATATGATAGAGAATGATGAAACTTAGTGTGTAGTTTGATTGCTCGATACTTTTGAAAAAAATAAATGTGCAATTAATTATTATGTGTCATCTATTTATTTTGGGATTTTGGCGAGGGACATCAGCCTCACTGTTGGCTTGTTGATATTTGAATGTATCGAACCTCTAATTATGGCCCCTGATTGTACGAAACATCATGTTTTTAGCTTGTGGAACCTCTCCAGGTCACAATTTTTATTAGCCCCACCTTACCCTATTATGATGAAACTTAAAATGTTTATAACCCACATATCTCAGTTCCTTTTGATATTTTGCACATCTCAAACTGAAACTAACTGGATTATGGCCCCTGATTTTATGAAAAATTGTGTTTGTGGACTGCTATTGAATTTAAAATAAAGATCAAATATATCACCATTTGCACGATATATAATGACGGCTGAGTCCGAAAAAACATTTTTAGCTTGTGGGACAATCTAGAGGTCACAATTTTTATCCAATTTTGATGAAATTTAAAATTTATGTTTATACCCCAACGGTCTTGGTTCCTTTCGATATTTGCGCATATTGGACTGTAACTTCCTGGCCCCTGATTGTACAAAAAATCAAGTTTTTAGCTTGGAGTCCACCTAGAGGTCACAATTTTTATTCGATTTAAAAAAAAAATTTCATTATATCACCTTTACACTATAATGACAGTTGAGTTCGAATTTTGTGAAATGACTGCTCCAGGTACACAAATAGTGTAAAGGTATATTATACCAAAGTTGTGGACCCTCCAGATGTCACAATTTTTATCTGATTTTAATGAAACTTAAAATATAATGTATGTTTATATTCTAAAGATACTTGCTCATATTGGACTGGAACTTCCTGGATTATGGATTCAGATTGCACGAAAAATGTTTTTCGTTAGCTTGTTCTCTATCCATCTTTTGCAAAGTGTGAGCATATCTTGTATGGCAACCACTTGTTAATTATATATCACATAACAACTCTGCTATTAACTGAGGTAAAATATTTAAACTTTGTTCCAACCTCATGGGTTTTCTCCTGGTCCCCCGGTTTCCTCCCACTGCTAAAGAACCCTACGTGGAAGCGAATTATTGAAATAAAATTAAACCATATGTTAGTTCTGAAATGACCTAGTTTGTGTCGAGTGGACGTTAAACCCCATTTCTCTCTCTCTCTTTTTAAACTTTGTTTAGATGCTCATTAGGTGGATGTCTTGGCTGTGTTTAAGTTAGAAGTTGAAAAAGTTCATCAGGATTTTCCGGCCTGGTTTTCCCTTTTCAGAGGTGCAGGACAGAGGACTGACAAGGACAGCTGTCTAGACATTTGGGTGGGACAAAAAACTGAGGCCCTGTGTACCCATTGGTGTGCAAGTAAAAGATCCCTTGGCAGTTGGAATTCGATATAAGAGTAGGCCGTAACGCCACTCTCAGGGCAAAATTTCTCTCATAGCACACTGTATGGCATATGCTTGTCTTCATTATATCCCAGTCGTAGCAGAACAGTAGGACCTTAAACCCATTTCATTTCATTTTTACATATAATCATGATTGGTTATCCCAAGAACTTCATTTTCCAAAAGTAATGTTCTGTCTCCAAATGTTCAGTGCAATTAATTAATATGTCTAATCTACTTATTTAAAGATTGGAATGGGGGACATCACCCTCACTGTTGGCCTGTTTTCTACATTGTTGTAATCAAATTAATTATTTTAATAAACTGGTAAATTAAATAGATGCTTTTTTCTTTTTGGTTTAACTCTGTGGGTATTAATATTTGATTAGGTATGTACACGTTGGTAAACCAGGAATTTTCTATAATATAACTTATTTAAAAACTGCAGTTAGCTATATATTACACAGACACTCAATCTTTTGGACCCAATCATGAATGTTTATTATCTCTAAACATTTGTTTATATTTGTACAAACTTTCCTACCCATCAGTAACAGACTAAAGGATCAAACAGGTTCGTAAATGTGGGGGAAAAAATCCTAACTAATCGTCTTGAAACTTTGCATGCTTATTCCTTATATCCTAAGGATCATTCCTATTTTGGTGCATGCCCACCCCCTAGGGACAGAGACACACCCATTTTTTCTTTGTATGTGTATGTGTTGCCTACAGGCCTAATTCATAATGGATATCGTTTTGGAACTTGGCATATTATATTCCTTATAGCCCAAGGACGGCTACTATTAATTTTGGTGCATGTCCCGACCCCCAGGATCGGAGCCACGCCCAATTTTGGAGTTTATCGTATACAGTCTCAATTCTGAATGGATCACGTTTGAATGTATTTCATTGAAAGTCTATACACGTGCGTAATTCTGGAGTAAATACGATCACGTTATGTGTTTAACTAATTAGTACGTTTAACTTTATAGCCTTTCAGGTAGCAATATATCGAGAACTAATTAATTTAATCATCTGAAATCTTCAAATATTATCATTTGAGAGGTGGGGGTCCGGTTAAACGAAATAAAACTGATTGTAGCCGAATGGAACGATTTTTATATTCACACAAATGGCGGATTAACTAGATTAGACATACCGTAATAAAGACAGATTAATCGGCTCAATCAGTATATCCGATTATCTTGGCTAAAATGCGATTGCGTTACGTCTAGTATATATAAACATAAATTTTCTCGGGTGGTCACTTGTTGAAAGATCACAAGATCAGCTGGACACACAAACATTTGCAAAATGGTAAGTAAGTTCTTGGAATTCATCATGTTGATTACTTAGCAATTAGCAGACAGATTCTATTATTTAAGCAGCATTTTGTAACCGAATGAGAATAACACATGACCAAATTAAAGTCTATTTCTTACGACGTTTTGACGCTTATTTTATTTGTTTGATAAAGACTATAGAACCCTCGCGGAAACGTCACCAGAAATAAACTTTTATGTAAGTTGTATTTCATATACAGGTGTCGTGATATAGACAGATTTATTAAACGAAGTCTACTGCGAAGATTTATATAAACGTCAGTCTTGCGTAATAATTGCCCTTACAGGTTCACATTTGACAACGAAGTATGACATGTACAATATATAGTTCTTTTACGTAACCAATCCTTCACATTCGTCCTTAAGGGGTTAACAACAATAACTATTTTTATTCATGTCAAAAAGAAATAGAGCATTAAAGGAGTAGTCTCAGATATATTTTAGTGAATCAAGCGGACCAATTCTGCGTGGGAAACTCTTAGAGCGTGTATCCCAGTACTGTATAAACATATTTAAAGCTCTGTAGAACTTTTCCACAGACATACAAATTACAAGTATGGTTATATTTATAAAGTGTATGGGGAGCCATACCTCAGTATGTCTACATACTTGCCTACTATTACCAAGGCACTCATACAATATTGAACAGTGAACATTTCAGACAAGATTTGCTGTTTAATTTGTATATCTAAATTCATCTTTATTAACATCAAACCCCACATTTCATTTTTACACGCCTACACATAGTCGTCGGTCTGTCATCAACAATGAACGCAATCGAGTTTAGCATTTTTGATGATTTTTTTTTAAATTTGGTTTGAAGCATTCTGAGTTCAGATATATTTCATAAGGTCACGAGATGTAAACAGGGCTAACGCTAACCCTAATCTACCCTTGGACCTATAGCCTAAAACTAACCCACAATCACTTGCCCTAACCCTATTTATATCTCGGCTACCTTGACGAAATCCGCAAGTGGCCTGAATAATTAGATCTAGCCCTCGTTCGGGCCATGAGAGAACGACCGCTTTCCTAAACCTTGTTTACGCGATAGAAGCTACAGGTTTTTTTTCAAAGTTGGTTTGAAGAATTTGGGTCATGGAAGGAAGATCCCCGTTGGTTTTCAGCGCTTCTCGATATTTAGTTCCGTAGTTACTCCCTCTTTTTCCGAAAACCTTGTTAACGCGATACAGGCTACAGTTTTTAATAGAGTTTTTTTTCAAATTTGGTTTGAAGAGTTGGGGCCGATATTCAGCATGGTGAACGAATAAAATATTGTATAATGTCGTATATTGCCACCCTTGTCCGCACGTTGTCCATTCCAATTGATTTGAAATTTATACACAGCGTTTGTCCTCGTGAAACGAAGAAGCATTTGGCTTTTCAACGAGTTGACCGTTTGGATAAAACTTGTGGATGCTAAAGTTGTCCTAATGTTTATGAGATGAAAAAGCCGATAATTACTTTGGGACCTTTAAAACTTCTGTGGCCACTCTAGGGGCTAAAGCTAATATCAGATAGATTAAAAATGTTTAAAACATAGATATGACGTCACCCTTTGATGTTTTTAACCAGTATATAGGAAAATGTACGATTTCTTAAACAATCGTCTATTATTTATAAAACTGTCAATTATTTTCAATTATTTATAAAACTGTTCATTATTTTCAATTATTTATAAAATTGTCCATTATTTACTGAAAATAATGGACAGTTTTATAAATAATAGACGATTGTTTAAGAAAATACCAATAATAGACAATTATCTGAAAAATGAACATGTATTTTGGGATAATTTATTCTCTGAACAAATTAAATTACAGAACATGAAATTACTTAAAACCTCATAGTGAACGAAATGTCACATGACCGAATGTTGATTTCACGTGTTTGTCTACATAAAGAATTCCACTTAAATCCGTCCGTTATATGTCACTTGTCCGTTTGACACTAGATCGGTGATACGTTTTTATACGCCCACATTTCCACACCTTCTTTGTGGACACTGTACAGGTCATAATTTGAAATATAGGTATATATCCCAAAGATTTCGGTTCCTTTCGATATTCGCTTGTATGGGACCATAACTTCATGGATTATGGCCCCTGACTGTACACATTAGCCATTTGGATGAAACTGACATGTGTGTGTTTATAACCCAAAGATCTCGATTCCTTGCAATTTGGGCGCATATCGGATCACAACGTTCTGGATTATGGCCCCTGATTGAACAAAAAAAAACCCTGTTTTGAGCCTATACAGGTCACAATTTTTATCCCATTTTAAAAAACGTTCAAATATATCACCGTTACACCATAATGACAGTTGAGTATGAATTTCGTGAAGTGGTTTGTGCCTTTTATCTTGTGTCCTGTCAGAGTATATATTAAGTTTTAAATCCAAATTTGGTCGGCTAGTACCCCCATATTAACCACAGTACTAAGAATATTATCAATATTTAAATCATTCTTGTGAGCAGCCTATCCATCACAACATTGACGGCTATAATTTTCCCTTGTCAAGAACATCACAATTTTCAGGGGCGGATCTAGGAATTTTGAAAAGGGGGGGGGGCGCAAAATGAGGGAACTGACCGCGGAGACGGGGCACGCCGCTGAGAGGGGATTTTTTTTTTAGGAGGGGGGGGGGGAAGAAAATTATCCGTCATTTCCTTGCATCTGTAGCTATTCCAAGAGCTATTTGGCTGATATTTTCGTCTAAGTAAACATTCGGAAATCGTTGAAAAAGAGCCTTAAAATCGAGCAAAAAAGCCAGTTGAACATGCGACTCGAAAATTGTCAAGGCGAGCGAGGCATTATGATGGGGAAAAAAGACGAATCTATTCCCTAGCCACTTCACTATTTAAGCCTTGTAACTTGTACTTTGTACTGTCCACACATGAAACAATGCTACATCAAGTTGCACTCATGCGCGTCGGTGATGGGCATAAGTGTGTATACGCCGCCGATTCCACAACATGTCTGTCTATAGTCACTCTATAGGATTAGGGCTCCGTCAGCTAAACAAAAAGAATTCGTTTGCAACTGGAAGCATTAATTAGACCAGACTGGTGTGTTTGAATCGATGGTTTGAGTCATTTGGGATCCCTGCAACGGGTTGGGAACGGACATATTTGGGTCTGAGAAAGGGCACTTTCAGCAGTAAAAGGGCACTGTCGAAAATTAGGGGGCGCCCCCCTTAAATCCGCCTCTGCAATTTTTACGACTATTATCCCCCATATCGAGTACATTACCAATGTAATCAGTATCCAAATGCTTATCACATATATTCCATTATTTTATGGCTTGTTGTTTTAGAAAACTATCTCTATCTCTATGGTGCTATGTTTTAAGTTTGATAATAGCCTCAGACTGTCCATTATGTAAATAGAAAGAACAACTGAGGGGCGTTAGCCCCGAAGTTTTTCTTTGTATTTCGGCCATTATCCATCACTAACACAGTGTTTATGATCACGAAAATGAAATGGGGTTTTACGTCCTACTGTTCTGCTCCGAACTGGGCTAATGAAGACGGGCATACGCCATACAGTGTGCTATGAGGGAAATTTTGCCCGGGCAGCGGCACTATCACCTACTCTTATACCGAATTCCAACTGCTAAGAAGGGATCTTTTACGTGCATTCTAATGTATACACGGGACCTCGGTTTTTCGTCTCATCCGAAGGACTAGACAGCTGTCCTTGTCAGGCCCTCCGTTCTGCACCACTGACCAGGGGAAACCACGTCGGAAAATCCAGATGAACTTTCTCGGCCAATGCAGGGATCGAACACCCGACCTCCAGGCTAGTGAGCCAGCGTCTTAACCACCCAGCCACCGTGGCTCCTTATGATCACGAGACAAGGAAGAATAGTAGCGAAGATTTCAATAATTCGAATATTTAATGTTAACATTTGCTTACCAGTAAATAGAAGAAATACAAATTTAATTACTTCTGAAAATTACTTGGTTTAGTGTCTTCAAATGCTCCCAAAATCA